TTTATTCGCAAGTATCAAAGGTTTATTCTCTTTCAATTACTGATTTAAATGTTTTTTACTAACTTACATGAAACTTATATTTTTTTGGGACTTCCTAACACAAGTGCCTATTGGTTACTTAAAAGGAAATCCCTACAACTCATTAATTTGTTACTTAACTTGATTTAATAAAAATTATTTTATTTTTTTATTATTTTTATTTGTGCTTTACGACCATTTTATTTCTTCCAGTCCAGTTGACTCCAGGAGGATTTGACCTCTAATATTAAAAATACTACATTACGCAGAATGAGGGGTTTAAAAATACTATCTATACTTCTATGCTATATAATGTTTTAAAAAGAAAACATTTGTATTTTTTGTATATTTGAAATACCTCAAAAACTATTGGGCCGATGTCAAAAATAAATAGGTTACTTTAATATTATTTTATAATTCCACGCAGACAAAGTGGCGAGCAACAGCTTATAAGTTTCGATAATCAAAGCCTTCTGTTACATTTCAATAGATAAACATAACAATAACTTCATCATTTATACTGAGTTAAAATGAGCAAATATCTGAATTAAAAAAGGCTGAAAGCATATTACGGTTATAAAAAAAGATGCTAAGAACAGTGTCCTTGGCTTAAGTTAAAAATAACTCGGTATCATTTCCACGGCGCAGCTTGCACAGTGCCCTGAATAAACAAAGAACGTCCTCTTGTCTTTGTTTGACAACAATAGATGCAAGTCCATTACGGTCACATTTCATAAAACTTGTCTATGCCTGATGGACATTGTTCAATATGCCAACAATACTCTATGGTATCTCTACTCTTTGATCCATGAACATTGAGAATATCTCTTTGGCCGACTGACAGGAGGGTATTTTTACAAGCCTGTTAATTTTTATGTTTTTGTGTGAATTGAATTTAACTGACTTTAGAAGGTAAGATATTAAATAACATATATTTTTAAGACTTAAGACATTTGAAAGATCCTTATCTGTCAATGTAATAAGGAAGGAATCTTACATTTAACTGTAAAGAATGTTAACCTTGCAATAGTTATAGTTTGAATTGAAGTAATTCGCGGTTGTTTGTACCCAAAATGCCTAATCGGTCACATGTTTTATATAATAGTTTTGGAGTTAGATTCAATCAATGTAATTTCCTTTCAAAGACACAATTTAGTAAGTTTTGTTTACGTTCTTAAAATAAGTTTTTACATAATTCAACTTTCAATATTAGTTTTAAGATAATTGTGACTTACTTTTTTCGTATACTTACTCTATTTTAAAAAAAGTAGTGAAAACGGATTGTGCTTCGACAATTGAATTTTTTTAATTAAGTAACACAGCGCCCTCTGTGTTATTTCATTAAACAACCACATAATAAGTTACCTCATTAAACGACGAGATACTAAAATAACTGTGCTGAGATAACGGGCTTTGAAGAAATAGTTTCTGTTTAAATTAAAACGATGGTATAAAAATGTTCTTTAATTTCAATGAATCAAAAAATATTGCTCACAGCTGGTTTATTTTTTACGAATAGTAAAATCCACTAGGACTTAAGTATAGTTGTACTTAATCTATTTTGTAGGGGTTACGGTAAATATTTAGTAACTATATACTCATCATAATTCTATTAACAGTACCGGCCTTACACTAGGGCGCAGTTGGGCGACCGCCCAGGCTCCCTAACAAAGAGAACATAATTGGTCTTCAAATTGCACTCGCATAACATTCATAACTTGTAAACGTAAAAATAGGGCGGCGTAGACACTTAGCCCAGGGCAGAGACGTAAATTCGACCCACTCTATAAAGTATTTACCCAATAATGTAAAGGTCACTAGAGCTTCATTAAGCCGTATAATGTAGTCCAGCTGTAAACGTCACAAAAAAGAGCCATCAATCTCCCGAAGACCTGTTGCGTTGAAATACGACTAATGCCGATGTGTTAAGTGATTGATTTACTTTACGCAACTTGTGCTTAACGTGAGTTCCAGAATATTCACCTAAATTACTTTGTTTCTGTAATTTTATTAACAAAAACTAGAAGCTGTACTACACGTACTTTGTTACGTTTTTATTTATTGGTTCAAATTAAATGTAACGTTAATTAATGTTTTGTGTACGCTCATTGTTCATTAAATTATTTAAACTTTCGTGAGACATTTTATAACTAATCATTTTACGATTATTACTCACGTCTACTTTTTTCGGTGACGGCACCGACCAATTTCAGACCCTGCGGGGGTTATCAGAGCGAGTGTTATTAAACTTGTTTCGCGGTCGCGTCGCGCCTCGCACCGTGCGTAAAACAGTAAGTTCATTGTGCAGTTTAAATGCATCAAAGAAATCGATGATGAATTCGAGCACAACTAATTTTAAAACTTTTTTAATAGAGACACACGACTTCTAATACCTTAAATAAATCAAGAACTTCTATTTATGAAGTTTAAAATGTACATCTACTGAACTTTAAACTAGGGGAAAACTAAAATGAAAAGGTCCTGACTTCCTTTAAGCGTTCTTTTTAAACTTATTTGATAAGTTTCCAAGCACTAAATTAATCTAACTTCGTATTGACTCAGTCGAGTTGGAAATGTGTAAGGTTTCTTAGATAAACTTTGCACAACTTATGTTATTACTAGCTGTTCCCGTGCGATTTCATCAGCATAAAATTATTTTATGGTTTACATGTGTCAAATTGTCAATTGCAAAGGTCAAACTGACATGACTGACAAAACTTTGCAATCTTGTTTCCTTGATGTTGGCAGCAACTTATGGTCTCTTCCCACATTAAGGTTTTTATCCCAAATATTTACATCCTAAGTTTAATGGCGTGAAAATATATAGCCTTACTATCTTACTTCTTACTAATAATCTAAATGTGACAGTTTAGACAGATGGATGGGTAGATGTTTGTTAGAGTTTGTAGCCTAAACGGCTGAACGGATTTCGGTAAAATTTCATACAGATGTAGAGGATAGTCTGGAAGAATACGTAGGCTACTTAGTATTGTTTTTTTTTTATTTCACGCGGACGTAGTCGCGGACGAAGCTAGTATTTCTATATTGACGATTTTTTCATAATATAGAGTGCATGGTATAATTGTTTTTGATACATATTAATGTAACCGTTTACACTTTCTGATATTTTAGCTATAATACTTACGTAATGCGTTTTGAATGTTTACGTGCTTATATCAAGCTTATGTATTGTTGAAGGTTTTTTGACGTGAAAACAGAATAACGTGAAGACTAAGAAATATAACGTATATTTAAGAAATAATGCTATTATGCTCAGCTTATTCGTATATCCGATTTGCCACGTAAAGTATAAAAGAGGTTTTATTCTATTTTGTACGAGATGTTTACAATGGTATTTTATAAGAAAGTATTTTAGGAATTTGTAAGTACAGAGTTGTTTTAGTTTGCAAGTTAAACGTCATAACGTATGTTATGATTGTACGAATTATTTTAAAAGTTATGTGTTTGTCGCCCTTATTTCCGGTATATTAGAAAATGTATGGGCATTGCAGAAAATGTAATGGATATAGTTGTTGTATTGACTTTCATTATAATAGCGGGTGCACACCTTTGACTAAACTATCGCTCAATTTTTGTGCGATTGTCGATTGTTTTACAGCCCATTCAACTGTGTAGTTGCACAACTAAAAATCGAGTAGTGTGCGCACCTCCATATAAGTTCATAGGAATCAAAGCGCGACTAAACAGTTGTACAATATGACATATTGGTTCTCACATACCTGACATCATCACATAACTAACAAGTATAGTGGCAACACCTCTCTTGCTGATGATTGTTTCGCATATTATAATTATTGTCTAGTATAGTCAATACAGTATAGTTTGAAATTAAAGTATTTACTGTAGTAATTACATACGAAAGTGTCTTGTTGAATGCAACCTTAATGTTTTACTAATGAAGCAGCTACGTAACAAGTACCGCATCTGTGTTACCTTATCCGGTCGCTAAATACACGAGGGATATAATTACTAGTTCATGAGAAACGAATTTTCTTGGCGACGGTGAATTTTTACTTTGTAAGATCATGTAAATAATTTTGCTTGATATGCTTTTCATTATGTATATGTGCTATCTTAGTATTATGTACTAGCTGTTCTCGTGCAGCTTCATACGCATGAAATAAAAAAAATTTCATTTCGTTGTTTACATTTGTCAAATACTCAATTCCAAATGTCAAAATGACATGACAAACCATGGCAACCTTGCTTCCTTGATGTTGGCAGCAACTTATGGTCTCTTGCCCACATTAGGGTTTTTATCCAAAATATTTAGCCCCTAAGGTTAATGGCGTGAAAATATATAGCCTAATGCGTGACGTAACTGTAGGGCTTTATATCAAAAAAAGAATTATGCAAAAAAATGCTGTAATTGCTGACATCTTTGGCAACAAAGAAGTGTGTGTTTACGCTTTATTATAATAGTATAGATAGATTATTAATTAAAATGAAAAAATGATTAATAACTGATATTTTTTCCCTCGCCTCGTTTCTATTCCTGCATTTATCTATTTAACATGTCTTTTAATGGTTATTAACCAGTCCCTCGGTGTAGAATTCTCTAGTGAGAACTTTGATATTTCAACAGCTCTGAATGTCATAGTTTTTATCCAATTAAATAACATTCTGAATATTCAAGCGTATACTTAGAACTTTATGCAAATATCTTTCGCCAACTATATCCCTTTACAATGACTTCTGATTGAGCATAACTTGTTTTAAACTATGTGAAATGATTGAAATCTGAAATTAAAAGTGTGCTAACTTGAATAATATTCTTAGAATATTTAGTAGGTAAGTTAATGAAGAAAATTCGATACCTAATATAACTAATAAGTAATACTGTAGTTAACAGGGTTGAAGTAATACTATCTAAATATCTTTCTATTGTAACAATTTAATTGATTTTTACAGGTATAAGGTATATCTAAATTGTCTATATCATGATATAAAATGAAGTCGCAAAATCTTATATAAATTTTATTTCATTCTCACTGCAGCATATTTACAAAATTGCACAAGTGTTTCTACGTAAAAGCCTACTCGAACTTAAATATAAATAAATTATTTCGTCCTAACTTCCTACAGTAAATCAAACTGTCACTTATCTATAAAATGCGTTTGAAATATAAGGCGCCAACGTCTAAAATACTAATGATTTAAAAAGTCGCCTAAAGAACCGTTTGCCTTCATTCTCTACAACTTCTTCCTCACCATCCTCGTCTTCATCATCATCATCTTCTTCTTCATTAGCTTCATCATTGTTTTCGTCTTCCTCGTTATCGTCATCATCGTCGTCATCTACTTCATCTTGTCTTTTGAGGTCATCATCATTGTCTTCTTCATTTTCATCTGCTTCATCATCGTCATCATTGTCATCATCATCATCATCATCGTTGTCGTCGTCGTCGTCATCATCGTCGTCGTCGTCGTCGTCGTTGTCGTCATCATCGTCGTCGTCGTCTTCGTTCTGCCGTTGCTTTGACCTAACTAATTTTGCTTCATCTTCATTTTCTTCTTCATCTTCTAAATCACCGTCGGTATTTTCCTCTTCTTCCTCATCATCTCCATCGTTTTCGTCTTCATCCTCATCAGCTTCGTCCTCTTCCTCTTCGTTTTGGCGCTTCAAAGATCTTGTCATACGTTTTGACTCGTCCTCTGCATCTTCTTGAGCATCTTCGTCGTCATCTTCATTCTCTTCATCTTCCTCAACTTCATTTTGTCTCTTCGAAGATCTTCTTGAACGTTTAGACTCTTCTTCTGCATCATCTAGATTATCATCTTTTTCATCATCTTCATCCTCTCCATCTTCCTCGACTTCATTTTGTCTCTTCAAAGATCTTGAACGTTTTGACTCTTCTTCTGCGTTAACTTGGTCATCATCATTTTCTAAAGCATCTTCGTCGTCATCATCTTCATTTTGCCATAGAAGTGACCGTCGGAAACGCATAGACAGTTTTTGTTGTTCGTCTTGTTGCTCCTCTAGTTCCTCTTCATTTTCAATATCTTCTACTTCTTGTTGTTTAGCGGGGTACTGTCCGTATGGATAGAAATAGGGATGTGGTTTTAGTGGTTTAGGTTGATTTCTTAGCGGTTCTTCAATTTCTTCTTCCTCATCAGAGTCCAGGTCTTCTTGAAGTTTATATTCCCTGTAGGCTTTAACAAATTTCATCAGAGGATCATCTTGTGTTGCATCAAAATTTTCAGGAACTTCTTCTTCATCGGCTTCTTCGTTGGATTGTTCTTCGATAGTTTCTTGTCCATGGACAACTTGATTGTGATCGTGTTCATGGTCGTGATCGTGCTCATGGTCGTGATCGTGCTCATGGTCGTGATCTTGCTCATGGTCGTGATCGTGGTCGTGCTCATGGTCATGATCGTGGACATGTTCATGGTCGTGACCATGATCATGACTGTGTTCGTGGTCATGATCGTGGTCGTGGCTATGCCCATGGTCGTGGTGATGGTCATCACCGTGGTTGTGGTTATGGTGATGGTCATGACCGTGGTTGTGATCATGATGATGCTGATGTTGTTGCGCATTGAATTTTAGGAGCTCTTCATTCTCTTCATTTTCTTCACTTTCGTTTGAATCTTCATCTTCTTCGTTTTCTTCCTCTACGCTTTCATCACCCTCTACCTCATCTTCACCACTCTCCTCTACTTCCTCGTCTTCGTCTACATCTTCTACTTCATTTTCTTCTTCCTCCTCCTCCTCATTACTTTCCTCTTCATTTTCATTTTCCTCTTCCGCTTCGTCATCTCCCTCATCACGTTCCACATCTTCTTGAGATTCTTCTGATTCAATTAGATCTTCAGGAAGAGAAACTTCCGGCTCATTTTCAGAATCTAGATCTTCTTCCGGTAAGAGGTCTTCCTCGATTTCTGTTTCAGATTCGTCATCTTCAACTTCTTGCTGTTCTGGTTCCTCTTCTACTTCCTGTTCCGGTTCAGATTCCTCTTCTATTTCCGTTTCTGGTACCTCTTCTACTTCCTCTTCCGGTTCTGTTTCATCTTCTACTTCCTCTTCCGGTTCTGGTTCCTCTTCTACTTCCTCTTCCGGTTCTGATTCTTCTTCTACTTCCTCTTCCGGTTCGACTTCTTCTTCTACTTCCTCTTCCGGTTCGACTTCCTCTTCTGGCTCGATTTCTTGTTCAGGTTCTGGTTCCGGCTCTGGTTCAATTTCCGTCCGACAGTTAGCCGGAAGCTCCGAGCGATCACATACCTACAAATTTAGATCAAATTAGTACAATTCGTATCAAACTCAACAACTGGTTAAAATTCAATTCGTTTGTGATACATAATTCAACGGACAGCCGTTGTTATTTACAAAGGTTCATGCTCGCGAGAAACATAATCCATCCAGGCTAATATCAACCCGCTTTACGTCTTTACATTTTGAAAGTAAAGCAAACTAGGTAATTGTGTCACTATACCATACAAGTTAAAGTATAATATAATCTCACCTGGTCCTCTTCGTTGAACCAGGTCTCTTCAGGACACTGCATGAGATAGGAGCGGCCGGCATAGCACTGGTAGTAGTCATAGCAGTTGTCGACGCTGGCGATGCGTAGGAAGTTATCTTGGCCGAGGCAAAGAGTCTCCGGATTTTGTCTCAATTTGATTGAGAGAGCGGAGGCGCCCCCCAGCGCCGCCGCGCAACACAGCAACAGTAACGCTGCTGGAAATTACAAACATAAATGAATACTTATGTAATCAATTCATATGATAGTTAAGAAAATGTACATATTTACTGTAACATTCTAAACATTTTACGAGTACATTCACTTAGTAGTCATTATCATCCCAATTTGCCAGAGAAATATTTTTTATTAACACGTCAACTGCGTAACAGGTGACGCGTCGCATCAGCATGACGCGTTACTTAGATGAAGAATTATGATTTTACTTGTCGCAATAAACGTGTTAATGAATGATCATGATTATATGGGTTCTTTTTATTCACTCTGAACAACTTATGTTCTCAAGACTAGTAGGTGCTGATATCCTTTGAATGCGTCATTGTTATCCGTAACATGTAATTTGCCTCTCTTTATTTTTCTTGAATAAATATCTAATCATTTACATATTTTTAAATTTAGATAATTTTTAAATACGCTTATTAATAAAAATATTCTGTAGTAATTTCCACTGTAATGGCAGTAAATCAGTTTTTTTATTATTTTGTTACGTAATAAACATACATTTAAATAAGTAATGCGACACCTGACAGAAGATAAACATTATCGTGACAAGTACGTTTCTTAGAGGTATCAAACGGCACTTGAGATAATGATCATATCATTCAAATTTTCCTTACAAACAATTTATATAATTTACATTCAGCAGTTTATTTTTTTAAATATAAATCATTCCATTAGTGTTTGATCATTGCTCTCGATTAGCTAGCTTTTTGATTACGCGGAAAATATACCTTATCCATTTTCCTAAATTCGTATTTTTTCCTATGTAATGGTAGCACAATAGCCAGTAACAAGTTAACAAATAAACGTCACAGTTATTACATTTATTTTCCTGATTCTGTACCATAAATATATGTATAATATGCATGCACTTATGATATAAGTGTTAACATACTTAAATATGCTTTCTAAAATTTAACCCTTATTCTTGAAAATATTTTGTTTCTCAGTGATTTCTTACTGCAGAGTTTCGATAAATGGCAATATTTCAGATAAGAACGTATCTTCTAAACAGATAGTGAAATTAAACAAATGACACCCATTAGCTCTCACGAAAGTTTCTTCAAATCTAATCAAAAATTTATTTTTTAACTACATAATGACCCAAATGACAAAAAAGGCTAAATTCATCCTTTTCTAGAACCCTTAATATTCTTAAATAACACTAATATTTGAAACTAAGTCATTAAAGATATTGCACTTATCAAGGAATTATTTCTAGAAGTGTCTATTACTCACTGTTCATGTTGACCGCTACAACCGACGTATTGCTTTCGCGATCTGATACAAAAATGCGATCACAGATCGGTGCTGCTCAATTTTATCGAGGTCACAGTATCTCGGGAGCCGGCGATAACGTGTGATGATTGCCTGATACATCAAAGGTGATACTGTCCATCAAACTCTTATCAATCCTTTTGCTTTAACAAGTTATCGAAGTTACAATGCCACTGTTGCGACTTATTGCTAAGGAATGCATTGCGACACATTCACTACTTAATAATCTATTACTTTCCAGAATCCTTCTTTTGTTTCAGACGGCTTATCGCAGATGGACTAAGAAGGTACAAGATGGAAAGGGCCAGCGGGAAAGAGATAGTCTGTAAACTCGTAAAACGGCGGTCTGATGATACAATGGAAGTGACAAGGAAAGACTGGCAGACTCCAAGCAAAAACAGGAAAGACTCAAAGGCCTTTGCCCAAGCAGGGGTCCATATTGAAAAATATAGTAGACTAACAGTACTAATAACCATAATAAGGTGTGAAACTAACAATACTAATAAAATGAAATCATAAAACGCTATGTAAATATGGAAAACAAGAGGCTTATTATTATTATATGCCTTATGCTCCTTCCCTAGGGAGACACGTTAGACATACTTTTCTTATTTAACGCAAACAGAGCTGTTTGTCATGTCTCATCTATGAGAGAATTTCTTCGGTTAAAAGTTTTACAAAAGGGAAGCAACGTATCATTGGTAAATCTAATCGGCGATGGAAAATCCGTTACGTAATATTCAAGTGCTTTGGAGATATCAAACCATCTGGAAAACTGATGTTTTAATGGTCTACAAATTAATAACAAAACAAAATGAACATTATCATTTTAAACCAGAGTGATTTTAATACTAATGTTTGACTATACTATTGTTATAAAGGGAAAAGATTTGTGTTTTTGGTTTTTTGTGTGCATTGAAATAACTTAAAAACTAATAGACCGATTTTAATAATGCTTGCACCATTAAAAAGCTATGTTATTACTGAGTAACATAGGTTATATTTATACTATTTTTTTTTAATTCGTGCGGGCGAAATTGCGAGCAACAGCTAGTATTTACTGAAAAGACAGGATTTATAGTTTACAAAAGCTTTATTGTTAATTAAAATATTGATATCTTTGATGATTGACTTTGATCGATGATTCTTGTAAGAATTAAAGAGATTATTTTGTTCGGCTAATTTTGAGTTGATGACTGTGAAATTTATTTAGTTACTATACGTAGTTAATTTATCTTTGTAATATTCTTGTAGTAAAGCTGTACACTCTTACAATTTCAAAAATCTTTATTAGGAAAACTCCCATTAGACAACATTTTCCTGTAAAGGTCAAAACTACGGTGAATTCTATTATTTAAGGATAGGTGAATTTTAGGTTAAGTCCATTCTTTAACCGTAACACTTTTTATGTCGAGACTTAGATCCTTTTTCTTCTGTTCTGGTTATAGTAAAACCAATAATTGCTTGAGTACGTTCTTGTGATTAAATCTTGTTTAAATGTTTAACTTTTCCACAAATAGTGTGTTGCTAACGCATGGTCAATATCTGATAGTAAAAACCACTCGAAATCTGTCTTATGACCACTGATATTCTTATCTTTATCCGGCGCTTATGTTCAACAATGCGAAAGTAAAAGTGTTCCCACTACTGAAACACAAAGTTAAACATATTCACATCTCTCTCTTCTCTTTGATACAAAGAGAGATAGCTATACGTATTTTACTCGAGTGTTTTGTCAATAGACCAGTTTCCAGTGAAACTATCAAACAGCATTTACAAAAAGATTATTGAAGTGAGACAAGTTTATCTAACTATCACGAATTTTTGCGTGATAGTTACGAGAACGTATTAGAGACGTGAATGACAGAGTATGAGATTTTTTGGTTTAGTTTACGCCCGGTAGGGGAGCCAATAAAATTGAATACAAGTCAATTATGTTATGAAAACATTTTCACGTTTATTCGTTAGAAGTTCCATCTGAAAATGCATAAAACTTACATTACGATGAATAGAAAATGACATAAAATGAAATAAAAACACGAAAGCAGTACGGCAATGATCTTACGACATTATTTTAGTTTGATTTGCTTATCGGGGACTTTTGCCGGTCTATAACTTGAATTCGACGTCAAAAAACTTTCCTCAGTGTAATGTTGTATCTTGAAACTTGATATCTCGTAGTCACACTTACAAGTTAGTAGTTGTTTAAAATATCCATAAATTATAAGGAAAGGTCCAGCGTAGGATTCTAGTTTCGAAGTTTTTATCTTGAATTACATTCGTAATAAAATATATATCTGAAGAAATTCTTTATTACGTATATCCGTTTTACCATAGTTTTAATATTTTATATTTCAAGTTTTAATATTTTATATTAAAAGCTAGTTTAGAGGTAACGTTTAACTAATTGTTTTCGTTATAATCAAATTAAAAGTTATACAATGTTAATATCGGAAATGATAATAAATCGATATCTCTGATATGACAAACAGATATAAGAATAATGGCTACCATAACACGAGCATAAGATTTATGTAGCAATATAAAAGTGCATGTATCACAGACGCCCGCTAGTCATATTTACGACCATGTTCTTAACGATGTCTTTTAATTTTTATATTCAAATATGTGTTCTAGTAGGGTTGGCACCAATGGTATATATTTTTTTAGTATAATTCGCAAAAATAGCGAAGCGAGCGCTGAGCAAAGACATTCACATTGCCAGATATGTTGCTATTGGAAGGTAACGGAGGGCACGCATAGTGAAAAAAGGATTTCCTCTAACTATGCGTCTTTCCTCCGCCAAATCCACTTCTTCCCATGTTTAAGGGAAAGCCTATTCTATCAATAAAGCCTTCAGCACTTACACTTATCAGACGGAACTCGGAATTTCTTAGACTTCACACCTTTCTTCTGTGTGGTCGTGATAATGCACTGGGCGTGTCGCCAGATCCATGTAAAATATTGCTGGTTGTACCACTGTTAAGTTATAACGAAATTAAAAACAAACTTCAATTAATATTAATGTTCTAAGATCCCTTGGCTTTATCAAAGTCAAAATAAGTTTTAGCAACATTTTTAACGAATATTTTGACCAAAGTTCAATTATGGTCCTGTCTACAATGTTCTTATATCTACAAGTTACAATTTAAGTAATTTGTTATGTTTATTAAATACATTAAAACATTTTACAAATTGTATTTCTTATCTAAGGCTACACAAATATGTAGAAGTATATGTATGTAACAAGTAAGTGCACTTTGAAATTTCCATAAAATATCAACGATATTATGGTAAAGCATTATTCTCTGTGTTTTTTAGCTTAGATGCCTTCTATTTGCTAAAAATACATATGTTAACGTTAATTGTCGTATACTAATGTTTTTTTAACGTTATATTATATTGACAAAAGAATGGTATAGAATATTTGATTGTCCCTTTTATTCTTTTTGTAATGAAAGAGAAAACGTTTTTAAACTCGTATTTCGGTTTACATTTGTTTTTTCATACACTAGTAATTGTTAAAATATATCTTGTCGTGGCAAAAAATTAAGAAAAGACGAATTTATTTTTCATTTTTCTTTGCTGCAATTGTAATGTTGCAAACTTTTTGCAAAAAAACTTTGTTCAATTGTACTCTTTTTAAAATATCTTCAAGTTATGTTTTAAATTCGTACCTTGTTAATATTTTCAACGACTTTCTCGTATTTTCTATAAAGTTAATAGCTTATTTGCATTTCAATTTCTTAGCGACTCTATATTTCTTAGAGTTGCTTTTTGTATCATGAAACAGGTTTCTATTATTGTCTTTAGATATTTGCAGAACTTTGTGGGTAAAAAAGAAATTTTCTTATATCGCTGAACGTTCTGTTATAATTTTAGTATGTATATCTTACTAATATTATAAATGCAAAAGATTAGATGGATAGATGTTTGGTAGAGTTTGAATCTTTAAATGCGAATAGCTTAAAAAACTTGAAAAAAAGCTGAAATAATGCTAAGTAAAGCAACAGTTAAGTTACAATTTACTGCCCAAGTGAGTGTAATAGAGCGTCCACTTTGTCGATGTCACCGCAACAATGCTTTTATTCATTTGACTCTACAAAAAGTTTCTAAGAGGAGTTTAAGAAGTAATAAGGAAATATCTGCACTATGTATATAAATTTCCGCCTTCTCGTGATAATTTATATTAAGGTTATCAGAGAAAAAATCACTGAAAGGTGTACTTCAAATGATTGTGCATAGAAAATATAAAAATAGAGATTTCTGTTACTACGTACTCTTACATTACGAAATCATTTTCAATTTAGTAGTTTGTCTGTTAAATTGTTTTTTTTGGTCCATTGTACACACGTTTAGGTACAAACAGTTAAACATTTTTGTATAATTTAGGGTTATATGTAGACAAATTGTCCTTCAGCAGAATACGATGTAAAACAATCCGAAAAGTGGAAAGTAATTCGCAACATCTTGCAGGGATTCAAACTCTCAACCTTGATATCAACTTATCTATAACTGTCTGTCTTTCTTATCTCTTATGTCTATCTGAACTTTCCGTTCGCAATCTTTCATTGAAATTAAATTTATAAAACTAAACATATGGAATTGAAAAGTACAAATCGCTGTTTCTAACCATCAGTATTGAAAAATATATTCGAAAAAACAATAGAAATAATTTTGTTCCAAAGCTTCAAGATCGTTTATCAACAGAATCTTTTTTTAAAATTAATTATTTTACGGCTTACTCACGTCATACTTTTTAAGTATGTTTTTTAATTGATAAGTAAGTAATCTTAGATGTTTTTAGCTTTTAATTAATCTTAGATTAGAGCATTTAACTCCATTAGGTCGATTTATTTTCTGTACCATAATGTCTCCCCTGACAGTAATCAAGATAGAGGAGAATGCAAGCGGTGTTTTAGCGAAGGTCAAATAATTAACATCGATTTGACCTTTTAAAGACGTATGGTTTACGACTGACCTACTATAAACCTGACACCACTGTTTTGATCGTTCTTAAGTTATCTTACTAACTGTGTGGTTTCCATTGCTGAAAGACAT